AAAAAAAAACCCCAAATAGAAATTAAAAAAAAAATGTATTTTATGTTGAAAAAACTCGTTTTTGAAGTAATAGGCTGTGAGTTGGCGTAGTCCATAAGGAGTGGCAAAATAAATAAAAATTAAATAAAAAGAAATAAAATAAAAATTTATCTGCAGATAAATTTTATTTTCCCGAGCAGATAATTGGCTGGGACATCAATGCCACAAAAAAAAAAATAAAAAATTTCTTACTAAAAAAATCTCCATAACAGGAAAAAAAGACTCTTCTCCCTAAATAAGCTTTAAAAAAATATTTTAAAAGTAGTAAACTAACAAGAAAGCCCCGAATTTATCTCTTTACATAAAAAAAAAATTAAGAAAAGTGTTCTAAAAGTTTATTCTAATTTCTTATTGTTTGTCTTTTAATCCTCAAGTTTTCTTTATACCCTTTAAAGTTTTCAATTTGCTTCATCCTCCTCCCAATCCTTACCTCAAAACAACAAAAAATGAATAATTCCCATGAGTAACAAAATTCTAATAGCAAAATGTTATTTTTATTATCACTTATTTTGATTTATTTCATAATTTATTAGATTCAATCTATAATTTACTATTTAATTATTTATCGTTGCTGTTATTGTTTATTATTTATTATTTGTGATTTATTATTTATTGTTTAATATTTAATATTTATTATCCCATTATATTTATTATGAAATGCTGTCATTCAGCCAGCACTAAACCTGCTGCATTTAACCCCCAAAAATTAAGAAACCAAATTAAAAACCCACGGCAAATCCACCACAATTAATCAATTAACCAAAAAAACTCAAATTAAGAAACTGAATTAAGGCCCTACCACAGACCCATAGCCTATAATCAATTAACCAAAACACCTCCAATTAAGAACTCAAATTCCTGCCTTCCACTGCATTTAATCAATTAAAAAATCCCCACTACATTTAATCAATTAAAAAAACCCCAAACTCTCAAATTAAGGAACCAAATTAAATCTCTACTGCAAACCCGGTATTTTTAATTAATAAGAAAACCACCAAAACTCCAATTAAGAAACCAAATGAAACCCTGCTGCAAACACACTGTAATTAATCAATTAACCAAAAAAAATCTCCAATTAAGGAACCAAATTCCCTCCCTACTGCAAGCCCACCACTTTTAACCAATTAACAAAAATAAACTCCCATTAAGAAAACGAATTAAACAATTTCCTGCCCCACCACAAACTCATCTCATTTAATTGATTAATAAAAAACCCCCTCCAATTAAAAAATAAATATTATATCAGAAGAATTAGAAACCAAATTAAAACCCTACCTCAAACCCACTGCATTTAATCAATTAACAAAATAAAAACCTCTCAAATTAAGAAACCAAATTAAAACTCTACCTCAAACCCACCTCATATAATGAATTAACCAAAAAAACCCCAAATCCAATTAAGAACCAAAATTAAAACCTTACTGCAAATCCACCGCATTTAATCAATTAAAAAAAAAAATCCTGAAATTAAGAAACCAAATTAAAACCCCACCAAAAACCCTCTGGGTTTAATCAATTAACCAAAAATATCTCAAATTAGGAACCAGAATTCCCTCCCTACTGCAAACACATCTCATTTAATCAATTAACAAGAAAACCAACTGCGATTGAGAAACCGAATTTAAATCTTGCTGCAAACCCA